CCCAGCTGAATGATTTTGCCTGGGATGGACTTTCTGTTACTGCTATGCACAAGATCCTGCCCCTGCATTATCAAATATCTGCTTTGGGAGAGAAAAGAGTTATTACACTATTATAACATTAAAGCACAACAGGCAGTGTCTGAATAGCTTTACTGGCAGGTGAACGCAAACAGTAAATGCGTGGGTTCCCTTAGACCATGGTTTTCTCCGTCTTGAATTCTTTTTCCTTGGGCTGAGTACAAGGGAGTCAATTTTTCTGACACCTCTCTTGCCCACTGCAGAGTTTGAGAAACGCTGTTCCCAGGGGAGGAAGGTGATCCTGTACAAGAAAGCAAAACTGGAGAAATGGGCACCGTACCTGAATGGAAATGGGCTAGTGAAACGTCTCACCATCTACGCAGACTTAGACTGTAAGAGGGATGAGTGAACACACTTCATGCACTGAGCAAACACAGCCTGGGGTGTGCTGATGGGAAGGGGGGAGGCAGTCCACTTTCTGCCAGTCTCTCTTATGCTTTCTCATCCTCCTTTCACATTTGTGGAGGACTTATCTACCACTTCTTCAAACACTTAATCACACTCACTGTCTGTCAAGCCCCAGAACTTTCCAGCATTGGTAGAGGTTCCTGTGAGAGTTTCCAGTGGTGAGGCTGTTCAGTGTCACAGGTCAGCTGCTTGGATTTTCGGTCTTCAAAGAAATGGAAGGCTGGTTTGATTTGATCCAATAGTATCGCTATTCCCATTGGTGTCGACAGGAGCCATAGAAAGGGGCAGCTACAGACTGTGGATATTTCTGTACTCCAAAGCATTATTCTTCAACAGCTGGTCCAAGAAACCATGCAGATTCCTAACTGGACTTAACAGTGTCCTATCCTCAGCCCTCTTGCATAGTGTAATGCCCCTATCTCATTTCTCTTCACTCCTGACACTATCATTAAGTATTTGGGATGGAATTTCTCTTGCCTAACCGCAGCCATCCACCATGCCACCTTTTCCCCTGAGCTGATTACTTCAGTTCTTGTTGATGGAGAGGAATAAACCCTCTTAAGGCGTAAGTAATCTACTCCAATGTAGATTAGGATTCATCTACAAAATGCCCCTGTGCACAGGGCCATATTCCAGTGACTATACGATGTCTGCTTTGGCTGTATCGGGAGCACAGGGCACGTGCACAGACACTGAGAGCTGATCAGATGAATCTTACCATCTCCAACAGAGTGATGTAAGGTTGTGAAACCGTTTGTCTCCTGCCAGGTACTGAAGTAGTAGAGGTGAGGGAGTGGTTCAAAAACCGAGAAGACATGTTGGATATGAGAGAAGTGAATAAACAAACACAGCTGACCAAAGAGTACTTCAGCCCAGGACACCTCCTTGGTCTTAAAGGTATTCCAGCCCATCTGGGCAGCCACTGCAGCTGATGGGACTTTATGTGAATCCCTTCTAGCAGTGGAAAAAGCCCAAAGTTGGGGGGTGGCAAACTTGTGGGATGAATCGCCTACATAAATAATATGGTCTCCAGTGGAGAGTAGAGAATTGTTGGGTTGCTGGCTTTCAGTCCTGGACAGTGCTCCCCCCCAGCATAACAGCAGAAAAATACATACCTATCACATATACAGGGTGATGTAATTTACTTTTATCCGTAGAGGTGATAGAAGTAGAAACTTTCTCTTCAGGATTATGTTTGGTCTCTGTGTTGTGCAGCTGTGGGAGAGAAAGTCCTGCATCAGATCTGTTGCTAAAACAGCACTTCCCCAAAGAGGCTGTGCCTGTTCCTGGTTTGGGAAGAGCAGGATCCAGGCTCCACTCACCACTGCCTTACTGTGTAAGGAGGGCAGTGGCCCTGCAAAGCTAGCCTTCTGTCCTTAGGCCATGGCATATTGGTACACAGCAGTGAGGAGATGATATTCCCTTCTTACACTCTTATGTACATTTGACTTACTGGCTGCTGAAGAAAATGAGACTTCCTCTGGACACACTTGTGTTCACCGTATTATGGTTGCTAACTCTGAAAACCTATGCAATCTCTCTTATGTCCTTAGCTCACACCTATACATCGCTGGAACCAGAGACTGAACATACGATGGAGTTTTACAATGAAGCACGAGTTGATGGCCTCCAGAAACGCATTGAAAATGCTAACGAGATGATAGAGTACTTTGTGGGGCGGGATGACTTCCTGCATGTCCGGCATGTGGAGTTTGGCAAAAGAGGGAAGAAAATACACTTGGCTGGCACCAGAACTGACATTAACTCCAGGCCTATAGTGGTACGGCCAAGGCAGGAACAGAAAAATATCTGTCACTGTGATATTTATACTATGCAAAACATACTGCCTAGGTTCATTTTCAGTGGGCACAGCCAAGGCAAAACTCCAGACGAGATGTCCAAGCCTTGTTCAGCGCCTCTGTCTCACAGTTGCTTGTCTGGCAGAAAGCTACAGTGTGACCAGTTGTCATGAACTGCATTAAGGAGCTAGAATGAAACTAGGAAACTAAGACTTTGAAAACATGTGTCAGAGGAAAGAAAAAAAGCTTGACTATGACTTTGGAATGAAATTTTCACAAGACTAGTCAAATGATTTCATGTTCTGACCCCAAATTAATAACATTTTAGGTTCTTGATGAAATATCCCATCACTCTGATTTGTTACAAGCAGGTAATCTACCTGTTCCTCTAGTCAGGTCTGATTTGGAGAACAGAAGGAGGGAGGAAATCCAACATCTGGTAGTATGGCTCAGACACTTCACCTGCCAAGACAGAGGCATGCAGTGGCCTGCCTTTGGACCAGCACCCAACATGCTGGTCCAAAACCCATTTCCTTCCCTATGTTGGGGAATGTGGGAAACTTTGTTGTGCTCCAAAATACCTTGCTTCCTGAAGTTCCCTCAGGCAGGGATGTATCCCAAACTAACTTTGAGCTTGGAGAGCATACTCAGCTCCACAAATGAAAACTTCTGTATTGCTTTAAGCAGCTTTGTGCTTTTTTCCCTTGGGAACAGTAAGACCATGGGCCAAGAGATGCCATTGTAGTCCAGGCAGAAAAGCCCAATTTTTACCTTGGGTTTTTACCCAACTCTGCAAATCTCGCCAGTTTTCTGTGTTGTCTAACCTGCTTCCATCTTTTTCTTTTCACCCCTCATTAGCAAATCAAGGAGTGTTTCCACAGAAACCTAGAAAAGCCTGCTGATGAAGATGTAGCAGAACGTATCTTTCTGATCACAGAGGAAATGATCAATCTGACATATCATCTCAAGGATAAATACATTACTGCTTCAAAGAAGGATTTCTTCAAAGCAGCAGAGAGGGATGGGAAAGGAAATGACATCATCATGACCCCAGAGATGTGCATCACATACCAGGTATGGAGAAAAACTACTTATATCTTGAAGTTTTTCTGGATCACAAGACACAAAAGAAAGGTGAAATGTCAGTGGAAGAACTACAGGCATGACATACTCTATGCTGCCCCTCTGCTCCATCTGCACACCTCCCTCACAGACAGCCTCCAGGCTGACAAAATGAACACCCCCAGACATGCACTACCAGGCTGGAAGTGTCTCGGCATGCAGGGCATAGTTTAGTGTGAAAGGCTTGCTCTAGCCATGCCTGAGTTTATCTTCCCAGACTTGGTCATCAGGCAGTGTAGACACAGGCAGTGTAGACAGCCACTGGGATCTCACAAGATGCTGGTTCAGCAACTGTTGGGCTCAGTCCTGCAGATTCATGGCAGGGAAGCTGAAATTTCCTCTGCCCTTCTCTCTTGAAGAAGAGACTACAGCAGAGGAGCAGAAGCAGACATCCTGCGTTCTAGCTCCAATTCTGCCATGGACTTCTTGGGTCACATCATTGCTTAAATCTCCCAGAGTTTACCCTGCAGATGCAGAGCAAGATGCTGAGGCTTAATGCATTGACAATAGATAGATAGCCTTAAATAAAAGATATTCCAAAAAAAAGTGGAGTGCTGTCATTAAGCCAAATTCTCTCATTCGGGGTGGAGGGGCCACTCCACTAACATCACTGATGTGAGTCTGTAACCGGGGCCAGAAGTCTGCCAGTAAATTCTGCAGTGATGCTGCACAATTACACTTAGGAACATCAAAGAGAGATTGCAAATACAGGATTTTTTAATGTTATGCACATTTTTTTAAAGCTTCTATTTCCCATTGGGGAGAATACACAGAATGCAATTGCTGGAGTGCCATCCTTTCACCTCTAACCCTGCAAAACCCATTCCAAACAAGTAACAGCAGCATCAGCAAAGTGCAAGATGTGCCACCTGGCTCACATTACTGATGGATTCAAAATTGAAATGAAGTCTAATAAACTGTTGACCATGGGTTAGATGTTTCAATGTGGAAATCGGTGTTGCTATATTGACTATAACAGAATTGTGCCAATTTCTGTTGACGGAGTACCTGGTCCCGTGCACCCAGAGAGTGCTACTGTCTTTCACTAGCTTATCTGCTTCCAGGCAGGGTCCTCTGAGAAAGACAAGAAGCTGCTGCATCTGTACAAATTGTTGCAGGAGCTAACAGAGGAAGAGAAGCAGCTGAAGCAACAAGTCTGGCAATCTGAAGCAGAGGTAACAGGGAGGTGTCCACACTGTTGTCAAAGTTGGTCAGGCATGGAAATGATTTCAGTTGACTAGTTGCCAAATCATCCTCAGCATAAACTGTGATAAAAATAAAACTCTGGTGTCACAAAGCTGGTCTTCATGCTGAATTATCAAGCTTGCAAACCAGTCATTGTTCAGTAAAGATGTAGCTTTAACATATTCATGGAGAGTCACACACTTTCCAGCTCCTGCTCTTACTCTTCATTCTCTGGGAGGAAGACAGTTTCACAGAGCAAAAGACAGCATATGAACTGGGGCATCTAGAAACGTATCTGCCTTTTGCCTGGGAATGAGACCAAAAAGAAAGGATATTTTATGTAATATTTATGTAATATTGTATCTAGTTGCTAGGCATTTCCAGGAAGTTCTATCCAAAACATTGAATTGACTTTTTGTGGGAGCAACTGTAGAGAAATACTTCATAAAATACATTTCTTGTACTGCTAATCACACTGTGACCGGTGTAACAAATCCACGTTCTAGCCGATGGAGGCAAAGCTATTGGATTTGGGGAGATATGGATTTGATGGGTGGACTGTTTGGTGGATAAGGAATTGCTTGGATGGTTGCATCCAGCAGGTAGTGGTCAACAGCTCAATGTCCACATGGAGACCAGTAACAAGTGGTGTCCCTCAAAGGTCCGTACTGGGACCAGTGCTGTTTAATATCTTCATCAATGACATAGACAGTGGGATTGAGTGCACCCTCAGCAAGTTTGCAGACAACACCAAGCTGAGTGGTGCAGTTGACATGCCAGAAGGACGAGATGTCATTCAAAGGGACTTGGACAAGCTGGAGAGGTGGGCCTGTGTGAACCTCATGAGGTTCAACAAGGCCAAGTGCAAGGTCCTGCACCTGGGATGGGGAAACCTCCGATATCAACACAGGCTGGGGGATGAAGAGATTGAGAGCAGCCCTGCAGAGAAGGACTTGGGGGTACTGGTGGATGAAAAGCTGGATATGAGCCAACAATGTGCGCTTGCAGCCCAGAAGGCCAACCGAATCCTGGGCTGCATCAAAAGAAGCGTGGCCAGCAGGTTGAGGGAGGTGATTCTGCTGCTCTGCTCTGCTCTGGTGAGACCTCATCTGGAGTACTGCGTCCAGCTCTGGAGCCCTCAGCACAAGAAAGACATGGACCTGTTGGAGCAGGTCCAGAGGAGGGCCACCAAAATGATCCAAGGGCTGGAGCACCTCTGCTATGAGGCCAGGCTGAGAGAGTTGGGGTTGTTCAGCCTGGAGAAGAGAAGGCTGTGGAGAGACCTTATTGAGGCCTTTCAGTACTTAAAGGGGGTCTGTAGGAAAGATGGGGACAACCTTTTTAGCAAGGCCTGTTGTGACAAGACCCTTGTAATGGTTTTAAACTAAAGGAGGGTAGATTTAGACTGGATATAAGGAAGAGATTTTTTACAATGAGAGTGGTGAGGCACTGGAACATGTTGCCCAGCGAGGTAGTGGAGGCCGCATCCCTAGAAACATTCAAGGTCAGGTTGGCTGGGGCTGTGAGCAACCTGATCTAGTTAAAGGTGTCCCTGCTCACTGCAGGGGGGTTGGGCTAGATGATCTCTAAAGGTCCCTTCTAACCCAAAGCATTCTATGATTTTATTTCTTTTTAAATGTTTTTGTGAGGAAGAGGGACCCCTGAAGGAGCTGGAGACGGAATGCTCAACTATATTAGCACAGAATACTAGGAATAATTAAGAACAAGATTGCAAAAGTCCTTTTATTTTTTTTTCCAGAAATTTGAAGCTAGTTCACTGTGACCTCATGAACTGCCTTGCCAAATTTCTCAGTCTTGATCTATTAACAGACAAAATATTTACATTGCTTGTGCTGTACATCCTGTTAAGACAAAGAAATAAGACAAAGCTATCAGTGCAGTTTCAAAAGTAGTGGCACGACTATGACTCCAGACGAGCTTTCTTAACAGAACAGCTCGTCTTAACAGACGAGCTTTCTTATCAATAATTGTGTTCAAGAATTTCATACAGAACAGCATTCTAAAAATAAGACCACTAACGGCTTGCTCTATCAGCAGGATATGAACATATTTGTATAGATCTTCTATGTTTAGCCTTATGCTACAGTTCTTGTATGCAGCATGCACTCTGTTAGCAGGGCAAGCATGTAAAAGTACTGTCATTCTGTGGGAAAGCTGAGGGGTCTTCTGATTTTTTTGGCAGGTGTTAAATATTTTGAAGATCCGTGAGAATGAAGAAACTGCCATTAAATTGTCAATTTCAATTTATAATACAGAGAGGAATGAAAAGAGAAGACAACAGTATGAAGCCATGGTACGTAGACTTCATTAATCCCAGTATTTATTACATGTACACAAAGAAATCCAGAACAAGCTTTTTCTGCCTGAGGAATTATCTCTGAAGAGCTTTTAGTATCATAAAAATATACTGGGCCAAATCCCTAGCAGGTACGTCAGCACAGCTTCAATTGACTTCCCATAGAAATATAACATAATCATTCTATGACCTTCTGGCTTTCTGAAAAAACTTGCATCACCAAGAAAGATTATTGTTTTATTTTCTTCAGTTAATAAAATAATTAACAAGGATTAGTTGATAATAGGGACTATGGGGGGAGTATGATAATGGATTCCAAGCTGCATCTTTCTAGCCAGGGCTCATTTTGTTAGGCAAATATGCACTTCTTTGTATGATATCAATCAGTTGTCTTCTTCATTTTCATTATTATTTGCAAAGCCAATTTTGTTCCAGGATCTCTGTTGAGGAATTAATACCTTATGAATGTTCTGGACAAATGCAAAAAGATTCAAGAGTAATTACTTGCAATTTTTCAAGATCCCCAGGATGCTCCTTGTGAATGGTTTTTAGATTGAGCTTTCCTGAATAGAGAGGTTATAAAAGGTGACATTAGGTTTTACATGCCAAACTTCTGGAGTGAAACACAAGCAGGGGCAAAGATGCAAGAACCAGCTATTTGCCAGCCTACGAGCTGGTGTACTCAGAATACCCTGTCCTAATCTCTTTCTGTGCAAATACAAATGCATTTTGTAGAGTCCTTCCTGCACCTCAGTGGATAACACGTTTTGTGTAAGAGACGTCTCTACAATCAGCGAAATTACGAGAAATGTTAAAAAGGATGATAGAAAATAAACTACAGAATAAAAAACACATTGGGAGAGGGTTGGCATGCAAAGCTAATGCAAAGCAGTAGTTTTGATCAAACTATAGGAAAAAGAAACATTATGTCCTCTCTAGGGAGGAAGGAGTTTTGGCCTTTGCTTGTATTTTGCCTTATCACACAGTGTTTGGGGAAATGGGTAGATGGGACTGTGACTCTTTCTGTCCTTTCCCCTCCAGAAGAACACAATGGAGGATGAGCTCCCAGGACAAGAGGAACAGGATCTGGATTACCTAGCACCGTTTCTTATTCAAACTGGCCATAGAGAGAAAATGACCAAGGGACAGGCCCTTTGTGTCAGAGATAACTGCCTGACTGATTTTAAGCATCGTCTCATTGATAAAGCTAACATCATCCAGGCTCGCTTTGACAAGGTATTCCCAGCCTTGCTCCAGGATGTGTTGTCACTGGAGTCTCTTCTGTACTGGCAGGAGGGTAACACACATCTCATTGTGACAGCAGGCAAGAAACAAACCTCCTTTGATTACTTTAAGAGAGCCATAAACATGTCTCTGTGTGTGTGTGTGTGTGTGTATATATATGTTTTTGTTGTTAGCTTGTGAGATCAAAGAACAAAATAGCTCCAGGGTGAAATTTAGTCCCTATCTCAATCAGAGCTGATTTGGTTCTCCAGTGCTTCTTGACTGTAGTGAGGCAACGCATTCAAGTTTTGCTGCCTCTTGCTGTTCCACATGTTTTGATTCCCTTCGTTTTCTTGTTCTGGGAGACCTCATCTCAAACTTATTGCCTCCCATGAAAATAAACCAGCTCCGATTTGTGGCTTCCTTCCTCTCAGCACCCTGAACTTAGAGTTGCACTTTTGTGTGCCTTGGCTCCTTGCTCTCCTATTACCCTGACTTCTGGTTACTTGCTCCCCCAACAGGCGGTGGAAGAGCTGCACAAGAAGGACCAGTGGTTTCAGGAAAACCAGAATCAGCTCAGCGCAGAGGAGGAGGATGACTTCCTTGCCCGTTACTCTGAAACCATGTTCCATATCCACATTCTAGTGCTAAGGCTCAACAGGTATTAGGAATGACTGCTTGAGTACTGCGCCCAGGGGAGGTCTACAAGTCAGTCCCCCAGGAACTCAGCACTGAAGCTTTTCTGTAAAATATTCTACTCGATGTCCTGCTGCAGTTTTCCTCTGATATCCCCCTTCTTGTTCTAGGGAAAAGCAGATGGCACCACAGAAATACCTTGCTCTTGAAGAGAAGCTGCGCAAGGATCCTCACCTAGCTGAGCACCTTGGTCATGCCTGATTTCTTTATTCCTTCACACCAGACACTGGAAATCAGTGCTGAAGCCTGTTAGAAGCAGCCTGAAAAAACCATGGAAAGGTTTTCCTACTTGCCTGCAGTAAATCTTTCATCATCGTCAGATTCATGGAGATTTTAATGAACTTGTAGCATTCCACTGTCTTTTTCTTTTCCCTCTTTTAAGGCCCATCTACAATTACATCAATTGTCTTCTCATGCAAATCCATCATGTTTGAGACTGAAGTCTGAATAAGACCTTAGCTTTAAGGTCTGCTTCAGAAGTTGCTACAAATTATGCACACTGTACTGCAGAGCTTTTCTTCCCCAACACTGCTCCCTAGCTGCTGACATCAGGAGCAGGATTATTTGGGAATACTGGTTCTTTTCCAACATAATAGTATTTTAACAAATTTATAATTTGGCTTTACAAGTAGCACAAGCAAAGATTTTGAACTTGTGAGTTCACCACAAATACAAAAATTCATTGACCTCATTTAGAGCTATCTATTAACTACAAAACTCAGCAAAGACTAATACTCAAATTGACAAACTTTGGATTTTAACATCTTAATTTTTCTCTTTGAATGTCTCCACTCACTGTTCACAAATATTGGCAGACAGGGTAAAAAGTCAAGAGAAATCCAAAAAGCATTCCAAATCCAAGAAATTTTAAGGTAATCAAGTATTTTGGTTAATAATCATTCCCCGAGATCCACAAATGGAAGACAATCTGTGTGCCATGTATTGGTATTTATGTAAGTCCCTGAGCCTGCTAGGAAACAATTTCTGATGTCACCTATAGTACATTAGGCACCATGGACACCTATGGTGGTTCTATCAACAGTTCCCAACAGCTACAGTCTTCAAGGAACAACCTCTAATGATCACCTTCAACAAAGACTGATTGCAGCTAGGGGAAGGCAGAAACTTATTTTGCTGTGGTACAGCAGAATAAGAGACATTACACCTGAAATACAACATGAACCAGAGTAGATTAAACTTCTTGGTTTATGGTAGCTGTCCATTTTAAGTGTAATGGATAAACTAAAGGGCCTTTACCGAGACACCCACCCCCCCCCCTATTTTACTGCAACAGTCATTTTCTCTTGTGTTGTTTCTGTTACATTTTAAGAGGTGAACACAATGTTAAAACCAAAAGCCACCATTAGCTCATTATGGCTAAACTGAATATCCTAGGTCATGAAAGTATACCAAATTACTGTTATAGAGCGCCCATTTAGGTGTTGCTTGAAGGATGCACTCCATTTTGGGCTCAGAAATGGAGAGCAAAGAATTCAGCATCTCCTGTGGGAGATGGTTGCAGCATTTTGACACCCACCACAGCAAATCCCTGGGTCTGCCCGGGCCTCTCAGCTCTCAGTTTTGGAGCTTTGAGATGGTTCACGACAGTACATTGTGTTCCAAGTCATTCAACACCAGCAGCAGCCTATTTCACACAACACTTTTCTGACAGCTCTGCATCCCTCTGTCAACACTTGGCTAATGTGGCGACATAGCACAGATAGAAACAGGTCAGGAAAGGAGAAAGCTCAGAACAGCTTGCTCTTTGAGATAGAGAGGTATTCCAGTAACAACCCACTACTGAAAAGGAACATGAGGAATTTCAGTAACTAGCCCAGTTTGCAAATCACAAGGACCATGAACTGCTGAAGGACTGAGGGACCTCAGGGAACTGGGGAGAAAGGAAACCCTAAGGTCTCTAGACAGAAAAAGAAAAGAAGGAGCAAGCAAGCCTGTGGTTATGAACTCATCAATGTTTGTTGAGTATCAGAAAAGACACCAGAACAAATTAATTTAAAAATCCTTTTACAGGCACTAGGACATAGCAGCTGCCAGAAAATCAGCTAATACATATTATCAAGGACTAGCATCAAACTAATTTGATTTCCTCTTTTGATGGACTAATTGGATTCAGAGACAGGGAGGAGAGTGTTAAGTAGTGTGACTCCATCTCAGCCAGGCTGTGAGAGCGCCCAGCAAGGCTCCGCCAGGAGGAAAAACGACCCGAGGCCCCAGTGGGCCTGACTCGCCGCGGGTAGCAAGAGTAAGAGGAGCTGGTGCCAGTGTTGCCTGGCAAAAAGACACAGAAGGGGGGAACCTTGCTCCCGCCAAGGCTGTGCCCGTGACACCCGGCGAGGGGAATCGCCTCCTGGAGACACACTGGCCACAAGCCAGGGGCACACCCGCCTCGGCCGCCGGCGGGCCCTGAGGTAGAAGGCTGGGGAAGGACCTCTCGGCTGTCCCCACAGAAGCTGCAGGCTAAGGGGCCGTAACAGCCTCCCCACGGGCCGATAAACGGCAGCACCCAGCCCCGCTCTCCAACACCACCCCTCAGGGTGGTCCAGCTCCGCCCCACCGCGCCGCAAAATGGCGGCCCCGCAGTGTCAGCGCGCCACCCTCCTTATTGGCTGTGCTTGAAAGGCTCCGCCAAGAAGCTGCATTACGAATGGCCAGCTGCTCTGCGGTCACTAAGGCACCTCCCCCCCCCAGCGCCGATTGGCCGAGCGTCCTATGGAAACCGGGCAACCATCCGGCTCGGCGCGGCGGCGTTCAGCCATGTTGGGGATTGCGCGGGGGGCTGGCTCTGATTGGCGGCGGCCGGGCGGAGGCGGGACGTAGCGCAGCCGAGGTTTGTCGTGAGGGGCCGGTTGTCAGGCGGCAGCACAGCTTGGGGGGCGGAGGTCTGGTGTCGCCGCAGGTAGAGCCGAGGTG